GCGCTCGCGACACGCAGATATGTTACGTGGCATATAATTGACGGATTAGTAATGTGTGTCGGTTTTATTACTAGTTTTTACGGCTTCGTAACAATTGACTGACACAAAGCAAATGTTTATGGGAATTATTATAATATTATGGTATTATGGTAATTATGGATGTTTTAGAATCGTTTTAGGTATATTAGTCTTAATTATGAGATCGACTGTAGACTTACACGTATGTAAAGTAAATGGCGATGTGTTTATCATTACTGTTTATTTAAGACATTGTTTTATTTACTCGTCTTTGTAATTTTAATAAAACTGTATTTTGATAACATTTTTCATTATTATCTTGACATCAAATACTATTTAGATCATTATCAATCGGTAAGCATTAACACAACCTTTCCAAATACAGTTAATTTAAAAAAAAGGTTTCTTAAACACCACCGGAAAGTTTCGCATGTTTTTTTTTTTAGAAAACAGGTTTGACATTTGCTTACTTTGTTGCGTTAGGTCAGTGACAGACTGGCAGACAGGCAGGTGCTCAGTCCAGACAGACAGACTCTCGGATCCCCCTCGGGCAACGATCGAGTATCTTAGTCTTTTTGCAGGCAACACTTTTTTGGCCCACAATTCTATAGAGCTGACCTTATTTAAACAATGTCTTGTAAAAGTAATGTTATTTTGTTTGTTTTTTAGAACATGTGGGAAAAAGGGCGAAAGTTTATGCTTTGATTTTGCTTTTTAGAATTGGACGTTTCTCTAAATATTACTTTTTTATCTGGGGGCACGGCAGTGCCCCCTTCATAGTTATTACTCGAGGACGTTTCCCAAAATAGTACATTTTATTAGTTTTATTTTTTTATGATTAATTCCCGCAAATTAGATTTATGTTTGCATTTCGATTTTTTGTCTATAGAAAGATATTCTCAATTTTTTATTATATTTTTTACCTATGCACCACATTTACCGACCTACGATAACATGTAATATTGTGTATTTTTCCTGATTCGTGTAAACTTCATGTACCCTGAAACATAATGTAAGTACAAGTAGGTCACCGGGCAGTCGCGGTGTCGATTGAATGTAAATGCGCAGACGCAGACCGCGCTCTCATCCTTCTTTACATTGACTACACTTTTGGGTGCGAAAATACGGACAAATTTTGATTTTTCTGTGCTTTCACCTGTTTAATGTTTTTTGAAGTGAAAGGGAGTTATTTTCTTTTCAACTTGTATATTACGATTTTTTTCCGTCAAATATCCAGTGGCGTTTAGTGACAAAATTTTCGCGTCCACAATTTTTTCTACCTAACAAAATTCGATTTGTCGATGTAATTATCAAGTTATCAAAGTTATGTAACACCAAATTATTATTACATTACGCATTGCATTCACATCTATGATCGTATTTAATATCAAAAAGTCCCAGACATACGTTGACAGCTACAAAAAATAAATTAATAAAATATGAATTGCCGACTCTGGTCTGATTGACAACTACACACGTAGCGAACTAATTCAAACTATGATTACTAATTATTTTGTATACATTATACAGTGTGTCAACTTGTAATTTAATTGAAATGTAATATTTAATTATTGGAAGAGTCAAGATGACTAATAAGAATCTGACCAACGATTCCAACTAATGCACGCATAATCTTTTTGACGGTCGACCTCTTGCAAACCTATTACGTATTTTAAGTGGTCATAAATTGTGATGGTTTAAACTAATATTTATGTTGCTGTTTATTTTATCCTTTAAATAAACATTAATTATAAGTTATCTCATATGTTTAGCGAAGGTTAGAAACAGGCCGGACTCTTCAATTGTGCGGAAAGTAAAAGGAATTGGAGCAATCCATTCATATGCACATCAAACTTTGTATTTGGAAGCCTTTTCAAAGTCAATGTCAAATTAGACCATTAAAAGCGCCTTTTCAACGTCAATCTGTCTTAAAATTGAAGCCTATCATGAGAACTTTTAAAGTGTATTGTAATACTACATTTTCAGTGTCATTATTTAGTGTTGTAAGTACAATTTCAGTGCAAATGACACAGTAGATTGTCCTGCACCGCAGTGACGCATAGTGACCGTAGCCGCCCTTGCGTGCGCGCACGGTATCTAGCGCTTCGTGCCAATGTCGTCGCTTGCGCAGTTTTTTCTATATTTTTTGCCACCCTTGAAGGTCGTGTACCTGATGTAAAACCTCGCGTGTTGACTGATGAATTAATGTAAACAAATTACTGCTTAAAATGTGAACGTTTCGAAGTAAATGTGTTTTGTGGTCGATTTTCATTTCACTTAGAGTTTTATTCTGTGTTTAAGGGTCTATAAAGGGCTTATAAACAGGGGCCATCTATGAGATCTTATAAGACATATGAGATTATTTTCTTGTTTTGGCATTTGTCTAACAAAATTGTGGTTGTGTCAGTATTCGAATGATCTATCTACCCTCTGCAAATTGTTTAGAATGGTTATACTTTCTGAGTTCAACCTTTTGCTTTTTTTTTCAGACACAGTCCTGACTGTTATTGAAGTTTTAATGTGAAATTGCTGTCCACCAGTGCCCTAGTTCCTATCGATGCCCTAAATAATATTATTCAACACCTCGTGTGGTGCAGTGACCATTTATGATAAGTTTTATAAAATATTTTACAATTGGTTTAGCGTGACAAAACCACGTAAATCATAAAGGAGAGGTTTCCTAACCGGTTCGATTATCTCTTGAACAATGGGTGCCAATAATTTTATTTTCCATGTTTTATACATATGGGTATTATGATGTCTGCGTTTTTCTACTGTATCGCATTTTTATTTTGCAAACCCGAAACCTTATTCTCAGCAGTCGTAGTTACTTGTGACTTAAGTCATCTTGGCTTATCAGATATCCAATTAATTCAAGTTCTTACACCACTACAACAACTAGGTCAGCATTAGATAAGATTGTTACAACTAATGATGGTCTTGAGAGTAGATTCTTCCATTTAACAAAAAATCCATGAATATATTTTACCAAAATATCGAAAATGGCTGTCATTATAAGTAGATTCTTAGAATCTCAGTTGCAATTGCTACAAATAAAAAAGCAGTAAAACAGTAATGAATGAACAAGTCAGAAAATTTGGATTTGCTCGAGTCCAATCTGCAATGATCGCCGGCGCCGAGATTGCCAGCAGTCACCGGCAACCCCTCATTACATTTACGCACCACCATTAACTGTAATCAAGCTCATCATACACGGAGATGGATACAATAAAATGTACATCTGCAATAAACCGCCACGGAAGCCGACCACTCCGAATCACCCAAATAAAAACATTTCTTTGCCAAATTCGGCAGGTCAACACAAAATAACAAGAGAAAAAAGGTCCGTCTACCGAACGTTCGAATTGCCAGACACGAAAATGTAAACAAGGAATAAACATTTTAAGTTGGGGCAATTTAAAATTTGATTTTCGAAACGGAATGACAAGTGCGGAAACGTTCAAACTCCCCTCGCGTTTAGTATCCCCACGCACGTCGGCGGCGAGAGGCGAGTGCGTGCAACCCTTCATTACAACCTACGACTATTATGGCGCAATCAAGCACTCGGCACATACGCGAAACTAAGGAAACAATAAAACAAAATTGACGTATAAAACCACTCCTTGGACTAATTTCAAGCTCAGCCTCAACGGTCTGTTGTGCAAAATATATTAGAACTGTAATTTATGGGTGCACCTTCAAATAGATTGGGCACTCAACGTTTAATTGACAAAATTAATGTGCCTTTTACTAAGAATGGCTGGCAGTGATTTCTCACAAAATATGAACTATTTGTTTTATGACTGTTTCGGACACAAAATAAATCGTCAAATCTTTAAACATACCTAATCCGTTAAAGTTCCTCCAGTTTTTATTGCGGTCGATAAAATCTATAACAACAATAAAGATAAATGATAGGACGAGATTAAAATACGATTCCTAAATTAGATTATGACAATCAGAGAATTTCCACCATAAACACGTTTAGAAATCGAAAAGGGCTCGTAAAACAAGATGACTGCTGGAATTGCTTCCTCTTTTATACGCATAAGGAGACCCACAAGCAATAATTATTGAGGTGTAAAATTTACACTGACACACCTTTATGGGTACCATACACGATCAGAGCTTCGAGCTCCACCGTCCATTTATAATGATATTTTACGGCGAATGTTTGCGACATGCTCACTTAATGGACTTTATAAAGTTAAAACCTTTCACGCGATCCAAGAGATAATGCACCCGACATATGAATAGGTGATCTTAATTTATCTGTGAACCGTTCCGGTTAACACTCGGTATCGGTCGCTAATCGAATCACCGGTAACCTGCATGCGATTCATGAAATCGATAAGACCTCATCGATAACGGATCCTTTGATGATTCGACTTTAATTAGACTTTTAGATTTATTCACATCGGCCGGTCCGATTAAGCGATCGTTACATAGATCACATCTCATACGATTCTAATTAGAAAATAGAAGAATATTATTTGAGAGCACTTCAGTGTAATAATAGATTCGGGCTTGCTTATTCATAAAAGATTTTTGCAAGTCAGATTGTAGGTCGACTTGAAGAGAACTTAATCTAACTATTTGATTAAATATGGTGTGAATTCTGTTCCAACAAAAACATGTTAAGATTGATTTTGGAGATGTTGACAATGAGCGTTCGAGGTCAGTTTTTACAATTAATTATTTGTTTACTTATCATCGGGTAATTGTTCGTCCATGACGGCATTGGTATTATCGACCTTTATTTTTTCACATACGATTTGATGCGGTTACCCACTTGTTACTTTATGTGAACTTTATTATTCGTAACAATTTTGTGTTATAAATATAGAAAAAATAAAAAAAACACTACAAATCAGTAAAAAATAGCTGACTGGTTTCTAAAACTTGTCGTAATTTTATGTGTCACGGACTTTAAAAAATATTATTGCGAAAAACTGTCAAAAATAATGGTAGCAGGTACTTACTGTGTGGTGGTGTTAATGAGAGCGCGGAGACGGCAGCTGGTGGTACTGGGGGAAACATGTCCTGGTGTGGCGCGAACATACGTGGTGGCGGCGGCACTTCAGCCTCAGGCTCCTCTTGCTCTTGCTTTGGTGGTGAGCGAGGCCTCGACAGGCGAACTGCCTTCAGTCCTCCACTAGGGGATCGACGCATCGATAAATTTTCTGGTGTATCTGATTCTCCCGAGCGACGACGAGGCCTGGCTTGCTTCCGTCGTGGCTGAGGACTTGCCGGGCTTACTGGTGGAGACGGTGCTGGTGGTGTCGCTTGTGCTGGACTTCGTGCCAGTGGAGTTGCAGTTGGGGACCTGGCAGGCTCCTCGCGGTCTTGGTCGGCTAGACCGCGAACTTGGAGTGATTCTCCGGCGCGTATCACAGTCCCAAGCTGCTCCTGCGCCACTGACACCTCGCCACGATACATAAAGTCTACCACGGCTTGACTTCCCATCCTTGGAAGTCTTTCAACACGATCACTGGGTGTTTGCACGGATTTTCGCTAAATATTCTGCGAAATAGTGGGCTGCAAGCTCCCAACAGCACCTTGTGCGCGCGTACGCGGCGCTCGGCACACACCAGTGTCACGTCCACTAGTGTCTCAGCATGCAGTAAGGCTTCGAAGGAGCGGAGCAGGTGAGCCTGGTGGTTGTTCCACCGGAGACTGTAATGTTCCTCGCCGCCGACGGCGGACGGCTTGTCGTCCATCTCGCGCGCCGGTATAAACGCGTGTGTTAGAACCTCGCCGCGGTCCAGCAGCGGGCGCGTGCGCGGCTTCGCGCCGCCCTCCGCCCGCTTCGCACCCCGCACTCCCCAACCCTTTCGGTCGCTCAAAGAATCGCCTTCCCGCCGGACCGCAATCTTCGCATTGCACTATTCCGTTCGAGTTCACACAGATTTTTATTCAACAATAGTTAAGTCCAAAAGCACTAAGTCACCAAAAAGTTTGGTAGCACTACACAGTTGAAGGCGATGTGACTGCGCGTTGTTGTCGAGGGTGGCGACGGGAGCGAGAACAGCACGTACGTGTGTCGCGGAAGGCTCGCGAGCGCGGAATGAGCTGACGAGACGAGCGCTCGGTGCGGCGGTGTCGCACGAATGCCGAATATCGGGTCGGCGTGCGGTCGGCGGGCACTGGCCGCCCGCGCCGGTGTGGGGCCCGCCCCCGGCCCCGCCCCACACACACACACTCGTGCAGCGCGACGCGAGCACGCCTGTCCCCGCGTGGTGCGGGGGGGCGCCACACATGTGTCACATTACTCCAATACCTACACATACGTGACGCCTCCTACGCAATATATACTTTTCAGATACCTACACTGTATTTATCCGGCAGCCCTGAAGTTTCATGAGAAAATATTGGCGTTCCTAAGTTTTTCTCAACTTTTTTTGGAGTACGCAAAAATGTTACGCTGAGATAGCAGTTATGTAGTAGCGGTTCGGGTGTCTTCGTTATTTAGATGAAGAATTTAAGATCGTAACTTTTTTGCATCCGAAATGCGGTGTTGTCGCGCGCCCCCAGTCGAGTCGAGGTCGAGCGAAAATTAGGACATGTCCGAGATAAGGCGGACGGATGGTAATACTACACAAATCACGAACAAATATATTATTACAGGGAATTTATTTTGAGGAAGTAATTGGGATAAGGAGAGATTAGGGAAGATATGGATTTATTGAGGGTCAACGGAATGTTATATTTGTGTGCTATTGTTGGGATTAAGTGTGGGAAGTCAAGGAAGAAGGAAATGTATTGTTATGTTTGTCTTGTAATAAAAGCGATTACTATTCATGATATCTAAGCGATCACAGATTTCGTATAACTCAGGGAGCACTATATTATAGTCTAGACATATGTTTTAAGGTATTTTGCTGAGAATGTAAGATACAGTCGAGAAAGTTCTCACGTCTTTGTATTGTTAAGGGATGAATTGACTGTAAAATGTTGAAGCGGCTGTAAGTTGTAACATACATAATCTATTGTTTTACACCAAAAGATTTTTTTATTCAAGTGCACAGTGGCTTTTTTTAATGTTCCATTGGTTGAGCGACAGGAAGTCTCAGGTTCGATTCCTGCTCTAGTAGAGAGTAGCGTGGTATTTTTGGGTCTGTATGAATGGCCACGCTTTGTAAATTATGCAATAAATATTACTAACATGCGAATTATAATAAGCGTAGTCATGAGTTTTTAATATATTTAGGTAACTTAAGCTATTTATTAAAATATCATTAATAAATAAATATTAATTAATTTGTACCTTATGAATGTTACCTACGTGGTACTTATTTGCCTGATGTAATTAAGACCACATGTTTAATTAATGTGTAATTTAACATTAATTAATGAACTTTGAAGTGTATTGTTTTTTGATATTGGTACCTACCTACTTAAGTATGTGGTATTTATTTACTATACCTAATTGCCTCTGTATGTGGTTGCTTGTAATCATGTAACAGATACCGTAGATCCTTTCCTATGAAAGTAGCCAAAAGTCTATAAATGGATATAGATCCATAAAAATCTTTGATTTAGAGTGATTTAGATATAAGTACGTAGGTAGAAATTAACTAAAAATCACGGGTTACTCACTAGCAAATACTGAGAAAAGCTCTACTAGTTTCGAACCACAGAGGGGTTCTTGCTCATGAGAAAGTTATTATTTGGTTTTATTAGTTTCTGAAGGTTTCGTGTAAATTCGCGATATTCCAGATTGTCTCAATGTTCGTGTGATCAAAATCAAGACTGCCAAGCGCGTTCGATCCACAGGCACAGAATAAAATCCCCGGGTCTGATAAAATGCTTTGCTATTTTCAAACATCTCTTGATGTTCCCCCTTTCACATGCCTAATGCTGACGAAAAATTCGTGTTACCTATTATAACCTATTTAGGTTTAGTAGGTTTAGATAATCACAGCTATCATTGGTAGAGCCCTTATTAAACCTACCTCTGTATACTAGATACTTCTGCTGTCCACTTCTTTGAAAAACGACACATGATTAAACATATTTTAAGCATGTGATTTTAACGTTTAATCTCCTAAGTAAAAGATACATATTTGTACGTCTCATGTAAAAGGTACATATATCTTAGACATGTGATTTTTGTCTTTATGTCCTTAGCAAAAGTGTTAATTTTTAACAACAACGTCCTTACTGTCTATTTAATAATAATATTGTAAATAGATTGTGGCGTCAGTACTCAGTACAGGTAAAGTTTTGGACAATGGTCGCCTGAACGTATTGTTTCAATACTGTCCTTCCTTTCTATGTATGTGTTTGTGTGTATGGTAAAAATTTACTAGTGTGGTATTTTTTTAACCGATTTCAAAAAAAGAAGGTTGTTCTCAGTTTCACCTAATGTATGTGTGTGTGTTTGTGCGAGATTATCTCGGGAACGGTTCTGTCACACCTAGGAGAAGGTTTTAGCATTAAAAAAGAGAAGGAGTTGAAGTCGTTGTTTTTTTAAACACACCTACCTAGTCTATGAACAATTATTGTATGAGTATTAAGTACTTTTGTTGATTACTCGTATGAAGTGCGGACTTCAAAAATGTATGTAGTTTATTCGTGGTTCTAGATTTTGATCTCCAAGTTTTACTTTATGTACCTATTTAAATCTATGCATGGAGGTCCAAAGAAGGTTTTTTGAAGAGGCTCCTTTCTTAGAAGTAAGTACAACAACAATCAAGCTGTATTGGGGTAACTTCAGGGTCAGGCAGTCCCACTTTTAGTTTTACGTTATAGCTCGGAATCTGTAAATTACAATAATCTATAAAAAATAGTCGCAATACTTCTAGCTAGAATTTAAACACCACGCATGAGAAGTGATCATCTTAGCAACAGACCAAGCTCATTAAAAATTCTTAGTAAAACCTCGGTGTCTGGAATCGGGCCCAAAATTTGTTCACACGTAACGTGAAAGCCCATAGAACAAAAGGATTATTATAGATACACAAAAAAACAATAAGGGCAGGTATGGGGTAATAACTATTGTAAATAATAATCCATTGTATGGCTAGACCCTTAGGATATTAAGGAACTGAAGTTTCTAAAGGTCTAAAGAATCTAAGATCCCTTATAGGGGATGATTTTTTTTACTGTCTACCTTGACTGGACGAAGGAATGCATTGTGCATGTGTACCTACTAAAAAAATACATGTCGTTGTTTATGATAGTGGCCAAACGTCGACCCATCGAATATAAAAAATAGTAATCTTATTCATAGATATAGTCGCGGAGAACCTAACGGGTCATTGGGGCTCCGGCTCGACGTGCAGGAGAAGGAACGGGGTGGTTTTAGTCAGTAAGAGTCTGACATTCCCTCGCGCCTCACATAGGCGGGAGCAGCCATTCGATGATTTGCACCCCTTAAAAAAAAATTCATAGATATAAAAATAAATATGCATAAAATTATGTCTGTGATTAATGTATAACTTACATGCAAAACTAGATAAGTACATAGTTAAATAGGTGAAAGTAATTTACACTGGTGAAATGAACAACCGATGTCATACTAAAATCTGTGTTTTGATTAAGTGTGGGAGAGCCATGCTTCGGCACGAATTCTCCGGCTCGACCGGAGTGACACCACGGCCTAAAAACCGACGTGAAACAACACTTGCGTTGTATTTCGTCGTGTGAGTGAGGTTACCGGAGGCCCAGTTAACCCCCTCCCCGTTTCCCCCTCCCCAATCCCCGAATCCCCCACAAACCTCTCATTCTTGTAACGCCTCTGGTGTTTCAGGTGTCAATGGGCGACGCCGATTCCTGACCATTCGTCTGCTAGTTTACCGGAGTAGTTTCTGTAAAAATGTAGATTAATCCAGGGGTTTTGAATTAATATCAGGTTAATTATTGATTTAAGCCACTTAACTAAGTGAGTGACTGATAGGTACAACCCACAGTCGAATCGACTGACCTTTTTTGTTCCCCGGGGGGAATCCTTCAAAAGGCGCCTAGATTTTTTGGGGGCGAAATAACTAGGGAGTGTGGGATTCCTACCTCACCAACACCTCTCCGGCGGTGGCCAATAATCGTCACCTATTGGGGACACTGAGTCCTCTATACCTAATAGACTTGGCTCCGGAACCCCCACGGTGAAATCGCACATCAACGACTGAATCTAGGAAGCTGAAAAAAGTATCAGCTTCCTAGGTTCAGTACTTTTAGTAGCTACGTGCAAAGGCACATAAAGTATGTTCCTTAGGAAGTGTAATGGAAAATGGGAATCACATTATATAGGATCACATATGGGAAGGTACTGCCTCCTGAGATACAGGCAAAGCCTAGTTCAGGAGACAGAGCTTGATGTATTTAGATGTTGGTACATGAATAAAGAATTATTATTATTAAAAAAAAACATTTTTGTATATACAAAGTCATTTACAAAAGTTAGGTACTATCTTTTCCTGAAAACAATATTTAAATTGTAATTGCATTTTATATTTTAATTGTAAGTGTTTAATATTGAAATAGAATGTATTTCACTTATATAAGATTAATTTTAAATCCCATTTAATTAATTATTTATTAATTATAACATTAGTCATAGCTCATGAACCGCTCTGACTCAATATATGTACTTGTAAAGGTAAATATCCTGGAAAAACTTTCGTTGGAAATCATCGGCGTGTTACGAGGAAATACGGTGACGAACTGCCATTACTCTTTAATGGTCATTGCCTTATACATGGAATATAAACAAACGTAA